GTAGGTAGGGCATAAAATCTAGATTTCTATCTAGTTCCCAGGTGATGCTGCTGGTCCAGAAACCACACTTGGAGAAGCAGAGAGTTAGGGTAAAAGCAGAACTACTGTAACAACAACAACAAACAAAAACCCTCAAAAACATGATGAGTAAAATAAGACACTTTTCTATTTCGTATTACAAGCTGGTCAGAGAGGAGGTTATTCTGGAGCCCAGGTTACTTTCACTTTGTGGCCCTGCCATCCTTTCAGGCATCCTGTTCATCAGTCTGGAGTAAGCAGGCTCTGCCTCACTTGCACTGCAGTCTATGGGAATAAAAAGTAGAGAATAAGCCAATCCCTGCTAAGTTTCCCTCTTCATATTCCCACATACTACACTGTGAAATTTAAAGAAAAGGCTGAAGAACAACAAGCCTTCCTGAACCATTAACTACAATGGAAGATCCAGAGAAGGAGTGCTGTGGTTTGGACCAGAACTGTCCCCCAAAGGCCCATGTATTAAAGCCATGTCCCAGGGTGGAGCTACTAGGAGGTGGTGAGTCCCTTAGGAGTTGGGGCCTAGGTGGAAGAAGTTACTGGGGGCATACCCTTTAAGGGAGTATGGGGACCCCAGCTTCTTCCTCTCCCCCTCTTTGCTTCCTGGCTTCCATGAGATGAGCAGATTCCTCTGGCACACTCTCCCACCATAATGTTCTGCCACATCACAGGCTCAAGGCAATGGGACCAAGTTACCATGGACTGAAACATCAGAAACCACAAGTCAATATAAGCCTCCCTTCTTTATAAGTTTATTATCTCAGATTTTTTTACAAGTAACACAAAGCTAATTAACAGAAGGGTTTGGCCAACAACTAGCACACTGCCACAAAAATATGTTGCTCTCAACTTTTTCATTTGTGAAGTAATCATTGGATATAAATTAGATAACTCATGCTAAATCATTAATATTCAAGCATAGCGTAGTAAAATATATAATATGAAATTTTACTAAAAGATAGTTTTATTTACCTCATCCTATAGTTTCTAAAACAGAATCAGTTTCTAATTCCTGTCATACACTTCAAGAATAGTTCAATTTAACATAAACTTTAACATAAACTTTATCCAGTAAGATCTCCTCAGCCTCCACAATATGAAGTATATTTGTTAGCATTATATATATGCACCTTAAAGAAAGATATGAATACAAATATCTATATGTATATTAAATTCACTTAAGCTTTAACTTGATGTAAGTAGATTGTAGAGGTATTCCCAAATTTAAAACAGTATTTAACCTGTTTAGCATGAAAGTGTTTTCTCTTTCTGTTTAGACTGCTATTTCTCCACTTCATTCCCACACAGCGTCTTTTCATCATAGCTATTCTCTGAGTATCCTAGAATACCTTAGATTAGCACTCGTTACTATCTTACAGGGCCACATCATTTTGCGTCACACTCTGTAAACATATTGGCCATGATTTAATGATTCATTTCAATGAAACATCATATATTTTCTTCCTAACTTCCTTTCTGACTGTCATAAGTGCTATCTAGATAAGAGTTTGCAGAGACCATTTTCTCTCTCCACAACATATACACTTAGAACATTCAGTTTATTCACTGACTGAGGTAGTGACTCGGTGACACATAGGAAGTCGGAGTAATACAGCAGCACCAGCTAGCTTCAGAGACCACTAAAAAAAACCATATAATTAATGCTGTACCCATGAATTTAGTGCAAAATTAAATTGGAGGCCGGCACATGCATCAGGAAGTAGGAAACTATGTCCCCAAGGATACACAGCACCACAGGCAAAGGTTCCACCACCACCTGGTAAGGCCCTCCACGAGACCACATGACAACCACAAATTCCTGTGTCCACTTGCCAGGACACTGCATTTTTCTTATTAAAGAAAAAGTGAATAGAGAAACAAACACAGACCAAGAGCCCCTTCTGGCGCACAATGCTACAAACACAACAGCACAGAGTCCTGCCAACCACAGGTGAGGTGTGGCTTTCTGAGGGAAGTGGATAATTTTTACTTGATGGTGAATAGTTAAAAGTGAACCAGATGATTAAACTTAATGGAACAGCTACATTAAACTGAAATTAGTAAAAACATGCCTCGGGCAGCCTACAACCTTTTATTTGTTGTTGTTTAACTTCTGTCTTTTACAGTGGCCTTGATGAATGACATCCCAGAAGAAAAATCCAATTAAAATCTAACTGCTCAATAAACCCCTAATATCTGGCTGTTGCCACTGCTTTTGTGGGCACCAGTATCTTCTGTTTCCTCTTTTTCCCAAGAAGAGAGAAAAGAACCAGCTCCCGAGGAGTTCAGCAGAGGCGGGGAGGAAGGGGACCCCCCAAAAAAAGAGGCATTTAGATGTTTCTGCTGTGAACATTGGGTCAGACCCAGATAAGGCTCAGTGAGGGGAGAAGGTTAAATTGTTGTATTATCAGACAATGCCTGAGTGAAGAGATGCATTTTCCCCGCTAGTTTTCAAATATTGATAAATCAGAATTTTGATCTAGTCCACACTCTTTCTGGGCATCCCCTCTACACCTCTATATTGTCTGGAGTGTTTGTTCTGTAAGTCATTGAAATAGTCTTCCCTGACAGCTAAAAATAAGTTTCTGATTACTTTTACCTGAATAAATCTTGTGACCAGATGTGATATTCACCTACTAAGTGTGCAACAATTACATATTGAAAATGATGAAAGCACCGGCCACAGAGAATCTATAATCTAGTGGAATGCAGAATATAATAAATCACATAGAAAGACAGCAGTTGCCACCGGGTAGAAGAATACTGTCTTTTGATAACAGATTTTTACCTCAGAGATATGGGGTGTTTGGAAAATAAGGCTTTCAGGTCTTTAAAAAAAAGTTCTCAAAGTCAGAATCATGAGCAAAAACATGCTGATTATGAACTAAAAGCTAATGATAATAGCAACATCTGTAAATTGGAAGGCGTTTTGTATTTTGTAAAATACATACCGTACTTTTATTGCATGTTTGTGTGACAATTAGTATGGCATTTGTATATGGTGTCTGATTAGACCTTCACAACAGCCTTGTTGTATAGCTCTTATTGTCTTCGCTTTATTCATAAGGACCCTGGCTCAGGGAGGTTAATTAGCTCTGCTATAGTCTTGCACTTGGTAAGGCAAAGAGAATGAACACGACCCATACTTCGGACTTGGGGGTGGCATCTCAGCTTTGTACCGAGCTGCTGACCACAGCTGCCCTGCCTGCAGCAAGGATCCAAAGGGCAATGAGGCTGCTTGCTTTACTCCTGACTTAATGAAATCACTTTTTAAAAGTGCTCCTCACTCATTAGAAACTGACAATGGAAAGTTAAACTTTCCCCAGTGGCTCTTTCTATGTCATCATGGTTTCAAGGTTCCCTTAGCATGTCACATTACACAAATCAGGGAGTGCTCTTGCTTCACATTTCTCATTGCATTTATCTCACTTCTAAGCAATTTCCTCCCCATTTACATTTATCTTCCATTATTCCTGCCAAATTGCTTTCAAAGCTACTAATTGTATGAATAATATTCTCATTCCCAAACTCTGCAAATAACTATCCATAGCTGTGTAGTGTAGGGCACAGTTTCTCAAAAAAGAAAAAAAAGTAATAAGGAAGTTGTATATTTTTTGGACCACAGGACCCTTCCTCTCTGCACTTCATGTAAATGATATTCCACAGAACACACTGAAAAGTGTGTCTAACAAAAGATTGTTTAGATAATTTCCTAAGTTCTTTTTTCCCCTGGGAGTCCCTTTTCAGATGTGTTTGTGGGCACTCCTCAGAGCATCTTGTGTAGTATTTGTCAAGAGGACTGAGTTGTTCTACCTGCTGCCTTTTTTGTGGTAATATAGCTCCTCTGTTTCAGCAAAACTGAGAAAAGATAGACTAACAGCTTTCCTACTACAATTAACTTGTCTCTGTGTCTCTGATGCCTGTATCTCAGGCTTTGAAGAAGTCTTCCTCAACAAAAGCACTATTAAAATTTGTGAATAAAATTAGATTATTTGAAGACCTAAATTTTTGCTAAAAATGAAAAACAGAATTAAGGAAACAATAGAAACTCCAGACTGTAGAAATGATCTTTGGGAGAGGAAAAGTGGCCTGCCTTTCCAAGATCAGCCTCTTCCACTTCCATGATATCCTATAATTCATTTTACTTCAGCCCTTTCTCCAGACTCACTTTACTGACAGTGAATCATCAAACCATCTGCTTGATTATCTTTAAGAACCTAGAACTCACCACCTTATAATGCAGACCATTTCAACTTTAGCCCGGCTCTGTATATCAGAAGTTCCTTTTTTGTACAAAAATCTGAATGTTAAACATCATTCTTCCAACTGAACTCATCAATTACCTAGTAAGATGGTTTTCAAGGCATTGTTCATGGTAGTCCTTATGATGTCTCTCAAATGCTTTGAGTTAAATTTTATAAATAAATAAACATCATATCTTCCTGGGAAAGGAACTGTAGCCTCCATCACTAAAAATCCAAAGAGATGGCTTAGCTCCCTGAATTCACCAAGAGGCAGGATATACCTGGTTGTCTCTGACTCAGAAACCAAAGTCCTTTTTCAAGACCATCGTTTGTATAGTAGGTTTGCATGTATACAAGTGAAGATGAAAGTGTATAAGTAGAACCTGAAAGGTGTAGTAAAAATAACTTCACTCCAGCAAAGGTAATCTGGCCTTGGGCATCTTACTGTTGCTCTGGCCTTTAGTTTTTCCTTCTACAAAATAAAGACTCCTAAATTTTTCTAAAACTTTGTTTCAGTTCAGGAAAATTCCATGATTACAAGGAAATATATTTATTAATTAATGCTATTTGTTATTGATTGGTTATGTAAATAATAAAAGAAAAATATCTGTATATTTTAGAAAGGATTGAATGAAAGTTAACACAAAATGCATCATAAACACAAAAACAATTCAGGATCACATGCTTGACTTTTACTTTCTTTAATTTTTTTTTCTACACTAGTTACATTCAGACCAGGATAGAGGAGATGGATCACTTAAATATATCCTTTCAGGAGATGGAGCAGGAGATCTCTTCATTATCAATGAAAACACAGGCGACATACAGGCCACCAAAAGGTTGGACAGGGAGGAAAAACCGGTTTACATCCTTCGAGCTCAAGCTATTAACAGAAGGACAGGGAGACCTGTAGAGCCCGAGTCTGAATTCATCATCAAGATCCATGACATCAACGACAATGAACCAATATTCACCAAGGAGGTTTACACAGCTACTGTTCCCGAAATGTCTGATGTCGGTGAGTGAGATGTGATTTCCAACAAGAACTGATTCTTCTCTATGCATCCTTTGAGCCACATATGCTGAGTTGAAAGAATTTAGAGTGCTCAATCCCCAAGGCAGCATATTTCCAAATAATCCATATATCCTTTTTATAAGTGCACAAGTGTTGCCTAGTATTACTCTAGCCTCATCTTGTTAAAAAAAAAAAAAAAAAAAAAAAAAAAAAAAACAGCAGTTCCTCTAATGATGGCTTGATAAGCAACAGGGTGGGAAGTCAAATGAGAGACCATCTCATCTACTTTCTCTCTGCCCCCTGATCTCCCACTGTTTGTTGGGCTGAAAGACACCAGCCTACTCCGTTTCTCTTAGCCATATCGATATTCAGCTCCAAGGAAGGACTTCCCCAGTAGACTATAAAAGTCTGAATTTTTTTTATTTAAAGAGAGAAAAAAATGATACAGAATTTCAAAACAAATGATGGAAAATTAACAATGGTTATTAAATTGCATACTGTTATCTTCAAAGTATTTGCTCAGATTACAAGATATAGGCATGTATAATTGATCAAATAATATAAGCACTGAAAAGCACTGATTGTTCCTTTCAATGAGCAAATAAGAATTAGTAGTACAATTATTAACTAGTAGTACAATTAGCTATCATGTGTGTATATATATATATATATATAATATATATATATTTTTTTGTTTTTTATTTTCCCTTCCTTCTTTTCTCCTTTCCCATATCCCAGTTGTTCTTTCCTTTTGAGCATTTCTTTCCCATTTATAATATCTATTGTACCTTTTGGATCTTATTTACTCTTTCAGTTTTTTATACTAGGGAGACAATATGACGTTTACACATGCAGGTCTGGTTTATTTCATTTATGAGTATGGTCTCTAGTTGCATCCATTTACCTATAAAAGCCTCAAGTTTATCTTTCTTTACAGCTGAGTAGTACTGCATTGCATAAAAATACCACATCTTGTTTATCCATTCCTCAGCTGACAGACATTTGGGTTATTTCCAAGATTTAGCTGTTACAAATTGACAACAAGAACAAATAAACAAGTAGAAAACAAATAAAAACCTAACCAGGAAGACTAGAACAAGAAAACATCTGGACACATTCTCATCAGTAATATTAGCACAGAGAGACAACAAAAATACATTTAAAGTTCTGAGCAAAAAGTATATTCTGCCTAAAATTCTGTTTAAGAGATTTTATTGAATCTAGAATAAATGAGGGAAACTAGTTTTGAAAAAGTCTGAATTTATAGGCCAGTGGAAAGAATAGAGACGGTTGCTTTAGGTATCATCACTCCTACAAACATCAAAGGATTCTATGTGTAGGAAAGAATGAGTGAAAAATTCTAAATTACTCAAGTGAAGGGGTGTTTTTATTTTCACTATGTCAAATTCAAAAGGGCTAAAATTACATAGTAACTTTTCTATGATTCTGTCCTGTGGATATCAGAGATATTGAGAGTCACAGATCCAAGAAGTGGAAAATATCCAATCCACAGAAATGATTGTAAAATATCTAAATTTTTCTCATGAAGAAGTTGCTCATCTCATCTCATTACCAGAAGCCACTTTATTTTGTTAGGAAAAAATCTAACAATTATCAGCAAAACAAAATGATGAATTAGAATTCTTTAAAGAGAAAGGTTTATTAGAGAACACAATATTTTTCCTTTCAAAGGTAAAAGGCAGAAGAATTAATGAAGGGTAGTCTTGTCATTGGGATTACCCAGAACAACTGATATGCAGGTCATGCACTGAGCAACCCCAGGGGGAAAATACACTTTCAAAACCACTATAGGTGGGGCTGGGGATTTAGCTCAGTGGCAAAAAGCGCCTGCCTGGCAAGCGCAAGGTCATGAGTTCGGTTCCCGGTACCGGAGAAAAACAAAACAAAACAAAACAAAACAAAACAAAAAAACCACTATAGGATTTCATATGTATTACAAATATTTGGGGTAGCTGGCAGTGACATCCCTTGACAAAGGGAAGACTTTTTCCCATTTTGCATCCAGGCACAAGAATGTTGATACTCATCAATTTTATAAATGTATATACTATTATTATGATATACACAAGCTCTTATAGAAATTACATAAAGGTAGTAGGACAACAGCAGGGAGGTAAAAAAGTGGACTATGGTATTGAACAGATCTAAATTTGAAACTATCTGCAGTAATAGCTAGCAGTGTAGCCTTGGGCAAATTACTTTATTTCTCTGATCCTGATTCCTTTGATCCTCCAGTTCTGTCTCTATAAAAAATAAATAATAAGTGGCAACTCCTAAGGGTTATTATGAGAATTAAATAAGGAAACAGATGCAGAGCCTCTAATACAATATCTGGTAACTAGCAGGTACCTAAGACAACCACATAAGCATATACCAAAGGCAAACAAGTTTCATACTAATACAAATAAGAACTTGGGTGTTTGTGACTTCTGTTAGCTCTCCCTCTAAATTCATATAAGGCTCTCATTCATTCCACCTCACTTTGCCAAAGTACAAAGATGGGTGCTACACCTCATGAATCAGCATGATTCATCCAGAGCATCCAACCTTGGCATAGTGCAATCTATTTGTTCAATAAATGAAATTGGCCAGATATTACAAAAGCAATTTAAAAATTCTAACATTCCCTAGATGTAACTTCCTTGTCCTTTTCATGGATAGAAGAATTCTAGCTGTATGCTTGCTGTTTATCTGCAGGGAGTATCAAAAGTTAACCATAAAATGATCTTAACCAGAGGGTGTCACATTACTTAAGTAGAAAAATATGAAAGCTAGTTACTAGGGCTTTGTACATAATTTGGTATGGGTTCTGGCTCTTTCTTTCTAGTTTTCAGTTATACAAGGGTTGATCAAAAAGTGTTGTGTGCATTTAAATTTTTAAAATTTACTACAGTACAAAAGGCAATAGTCCCCCTCAAAATACTCCTTCTTGGTTCAAATACACTTATTCTATCATTCTTGCCACTTTCTCTTTTTTTTTTTTTTTTTTGCATTTTTCTTTATTTTAAAAAGAACAATAGCAAAATACCAACAACATAGACAAAAACAAAGCAAAGCGAAAACAGTAAAAATGATACAGGGTTTCAGAACAGAATGATAGGAATTAACAGCAACTGTTACATTACATATTGCTATCTTCAACGAATTTACTCAGATTACCAGATGTAAGAATGCAAGATTGATCAAACTACAAGACTTCTTTCAATGACTGTCTGTAGTTGTGCTGCCGAGGCTGCCTCAATGTCCTGAACCAATTGAAAATGTGTGCTTTCATGGTCATTTTGACTTTAGGGAAGAGCAAGAAGCCACATAGTGCCAGATCCATTGAATAAGGTAGATGAGGACACCCTTTTACGTTTTTATTTGACAGAAATTGCCATAAACACTTTCAATCAATTTAGGACATCAGGGCAACCACAATAGTACAACTAAAGACACTCATGAAAGAAGACTCCAGAACTGCTTCAGAAAGTTGGAAGAACAATGGGATAAATGTGTTCAAAGCAAGAGGGATTCATGACAATGCAATTCTTACTGCAATAAATATTTAACATAAATATTCACCACATTTTTTATCCCACTGAGGTTAGGCATTGTCCTCAGGCTGCCATTTCTAAAATCAGAAAATAGCTGCTGCATTGTACCTTCCTGTCAGCAAGAGAAACAGTATCAGTGACAGAATATCTAGCCAAATCATGCGTGGTCTCTTGGTTAGACAGCTCCTGAACTAATTTTGTGGACAAAATAAAGTACTGAATAACTTGCAAGAATCACTACAGCAAGAATGTAGTCCAATCCTGGGTTTGTAGATGAGTGGGAATCAGTTCCAATCAAGGTGATTGCTTAACCTAACCCTTACCGTATTTATTAATGTTCATTACATGCCTTCACAGTGAAGAATCCAAGGCTTTTTAACCAAGCACTCATTGAAGATACAAAATTAAATTCTTGCTTTTTGTGTGTATGCATTAAGAGGCAAAATGAACTCTTCATTTGTTTTCAGTTTGTGTTTCTGTCCTTGCAGGCACATTTGTTGTCCAGGTCACTGCAACGGATGCTGATGACCCAACGTACGGGAACAGCGCTAAAGTTGTCTATAGTATCCTACAGGGACAGCCCTATTTTTCAGTTGAATCAGAAACAGGTTAGAATTCCTTTTGGTCTTCTTTTTGACAATCTATAATTTTAATTGATATGCACAGCTGAGCTAGCATATTTTTTAATAAAAACAATCTGCGTGATTGAATTTTCTTGTATTCCTCTGCCAAACACTAATGATATGTTTGCAAGCATGGCATCGGGATCATTTTAATCAAGAAATCTGACAATGAATCTTTCCTGCACCATGTTTATATAAGTAGATTCAGAAAAATTACACATTCCTTTATTTTTCTTCCAGTTTGGGGTGAACATAAAAGACTAACCCTTTCTGATAGCTCCTAGAGATTTTTTACAGATACACTGATTCTTCCTTTTCTAGTTTTTTGATAAGACCGCATCTCTCTTTTCTACTCTGAAGCTGGACATATCTATGTGATTGATTTGTGCAAATAAAATGTGGTTGGTGATGATGCCAGCAGAATTTATAAAGCTGTTGTACAACTGGCCTCAGTCCTTTCCCTGACATACTAATCGTGAAAACTACTGTTGAGATGGGCTATCCAGCCCAAATGGCCAAGTGTTATCAAGAGCAGAACTTCCTGCTTGTCTGTTGAGAGCACGAACAGTAATTAAACCAGTTGTGTAAAGCCACTGAGATTTTACATTGTTTATTGTCACATCTTTATCCCAGCCTGAAACAAACTTAAAATGGAATACCTACAAAATCTTTTTTTCAGTCTCTCATTTTTCTATATTCTCCCCATAAAATAACATATCATCTGATGATTTGTTTTTTAGAAAGTAGGGTTAATAGAGTAAACGCTACACATATCCTTGCCCTCATAATAGCAGTCAGGTTTCTTTGGTGTATTTTTTAAACATCCATTATTTTTAGTAGAAATCAGAACCTTTCTAGGTTACCACATCCAGGTGTAAATCTGTGTGTTAAAAGGTGCAGTTAACTTGGAAAGAATTCCAAGAAGAAAGAAAATGCTGAGTTGAAAATAATGAGAATTAAAGACTAGAATTATTCAGCTTAAAGGACAAATGGCTAAGGTGATCTCCTGTATTTAAATAGAGAAGCACTGTGATTTGGAGAACAGAAAGCAGCTGCACTTAGAAGCTGAGGCTATAAGAATAAAATTGACCTGTTGTTTGAGGTATTCTTGTTTAAAAAAAAATTTAATGATATTTTCAGCTTCATTAGTTGTTAAGTACTGGAATGTGTGACCGGAGATGGTCATAAAGCCTTCTCCAGTGAGTTTTTTTAAAGAAAGTTAATTTAAGTATAAACCCTCTATAGAGATTAAGTAAACTTAGAATTTCTTTCAACTAATTATCTTTAAACTACCTAGGAATAGAGATAAACTTAACCTAACTTTAAAATGTTGGCTACTTTGGGGACCAGTTAAACAAATGTTCACATCAGCTTCAGGAAAACCTAAAGTCGCAAGTATTATACAAAAAGATAATTGTTAGAGAAATGATGCTGTGTTTTTTTAGTACCATAGTTTTACAGTTTAGAAATTTTTCAGAACATTATATATAGTACATAGATTTGAGGAGCAATTAGCCACTTCAGGAATGTAAAACACTGAAGTTGAGGCTATGGCTTTCTTGATAATGTGCTCATAATACACCGTAATGTCATTAGTCAGCACCCACCATAGTATATGCCCTATGGCACATTCCGTTATATTGCTTTGTCATCTGACACCTAATATTTATACTATGTCTAGTCTATACTATTGTAGGATTTGACTTGTACTTTTTATTCTCCTTGTATTACAAGCTTTTAAAAATGTATCTTTCCTTTGTGTAGTTGCAATATCTTTCAGTTAAAGGCTGTATATAATCATCTATATATCACTGTGACATCTACTTAGTGCTTTGCATATTGTGGGTGGCAGTCTCTGTTTGTTTGCATAAATAAACGATTCCATGAAGTATTCTCAATGCATCCCTTCCCACCCCTAAATTCCACATCCACAGGTATCATTAAGACAGCTCTGCTCAACATGGATCGAGAAAACAGAGAACAGTACCAAGTGGTGATCCAAGCCAAGGACATGGGCGGCCAGATGGGAGGATTATCGGGGACCACCACGGTGAACATCACGCTCACTGATGTCAACGACAATCCCCCCCGGTTCCCCCAGAGTACGAACATTTGATTGAATGATTTTCTTTCATGCATCTTATGAAGTTCTAACCTTGAGAATATTTATTTTCCGCTGTTGTCATTATTGTCAAAATTCATGGACTTAGTAAGAACTGGCACTTTTATTAAAATTATTAAAAGGAGTTGACAACACCACTTGTGCTCAGGAAGTATGAACATTTATGTTCTGCCATTGGTAATTAGCTAAGTGATTTCCGAGATCTTTACAGATACACTGATTCTTCCTATGGCTGTTGTTTAAAAAGCAACATCATTATTTCTGTCCCTTATTTTTCCCCTTATTAAAAAGACTACCAGAGACATAAATTTACTTGTGCAGAACATATGTATAACAGCATGCTGCTTTTTTGTTAGGAAAAACCTGACTTTATGTTTTTTGAACTTAATCAGGCATGTAATCTCTTTTAAATCCTCACAACCCTTTGTAAGGAAAGGATTTATCATTTTCCTATTTCTAAAACTATGGCTGTGGAAGCAACTATGTACTTAATCCATTTGTAATCATAAATAGTTTTATACATTATGGCTAATTGAGATACTGAAATCATCTCTCAAATTATTAACTTTTATAATTAAATAGTTAAAATTATTAACTTATAATTAAGTGGAAAGAAAAAGCCACACCTGAGACCACAGACTTTGTATCAAGCTGCACATAAGAGTTTTTCCTCTTCACCAATAAGACCTGGTTTTAATGCAAGTTTCCTCCAGGAATAAAATCTCATTCTGACTAGACTGTCCTAAGTTATCTCAATCGGTGAACAGAAAACACACGTACTTTATCAGGGAATTTTTAAAAGATGGTCAGCTCATATGGACTTCTTTTACAATGGAGATTCACATAAATCAATAGGAAAGAGTTTAATTCTGTTTTTTTTTTTCAAGGGGGGATTTGATCAGACTTAAGTGGAAAACCAAAATAGATAATCAATTATTTTTATGTACAATAAGTAGAAGACAAATTTTATGGGATGTAAAATTTCCCCCCCAGACAGCTGAAAATATCAGGGTAACCAATACTCTGCCCCAAACCCTCATTTTCAGTATGGAAAGCCAGGACGGGGTGATGCCCTTAGGATTCACCAGCACCTTGGTGCCCCAGGGATCTTACGTTCACTCTACCTGTTGCCAGACAATGCGCTAAAGCAAAGGGACAGAGAATATAGAAACAGGCAAGAAGCCCTAAATTTGGACTTGAATGCATTGGAGAAACATAACCTATTTTATCATTTTACCAAGAATGAGCCAATATTCAGGGAAATAATATTACTGAAGATCTATAATGGTATCACAATCTAGTTTTTTTCCCCAACTATTCATATGAATGGTTGACAAAATGTCATGAGTAAGAATAGAAAATCTTGTTTTTATTACTTTATTTTACTTAGTTCTAGTTACATGCTTCCCTGTCAGATTTAAACTGAGACTTACTCTAATCGCCTTAATTTTGCCATATGAGGAGATAACAAAATTGTTTATCTATGAAATACTATACAGGTTTTGAATTAGTAATAAAATTGTGGAAGAAACCTATGCAGAGAAAAATATTGTAACAAAATTTAAAAGAGTTATCGAAAAGGGAAAAAAAGGAGCTTTATCACACCGTGTATTTACCTATATCCTTAACTCTGCAACTGGCTATAGCTCTCCATATGAGCAAAAGGACATCTACTTATACAAAGTCTCCAAATTACTATAATTTACTTCCACCTTCTGCTAGTTTGAGCAATGGCAGAAAAAACTCTTTTACAGAATACCTGATAATTGGCTTCAAGTCTAAGTTCCAATGAAGTTCTCTCTCCTTTCTCTTAGATTACATTCAGAGAAGGCTTCAAAACCTGCCTCCTCCTCGAACAGTTCAGTCAGTCTCATAGTCACACCATAATCTTGGAGGCCTGTTTATGGAACAAAAAAAAGCTCTCTATTTGCAAGGAGATAAGTCATGAAATAGAAGAAATATTCTTTTTTTTTTTTTTTTTTTTTTGGTTTTTCTCCGGTACCGGGAACCGAACTCACGACCTTGCGCTTGCCAGGCAGGCGCTTTTGCCGCTGAGCTAAATCCCCAGCCCCCAGAAGAAATATTCTTAACAATCATAGTAGCAACATCATAAGCAGAATGGAGCCCATTTTTAATTTTGAAGAAAGAATATGTTTTTAAAGAAAGAACAAATCTGCTTCATTCCATGCTGATGTTTTATAGGACTGTTAGAAAAGGGGTTTGGGTTTTATATTAGTCCCCCATTGCCTATGGTCTCACTTTCTGCAGTTTCACATACCCATTGTCAACCACAGTCCAAAAGTATTAAAAAGAGTATTTCAGAAATCAAACATTTCACGTTTCAAACAACTTTTATTACAGCATGTTTTTATAATTGTCCTATTTTATTATTAGTTATTAATTTCTTACTGTGCTTAACTTATAAATTAAACTTTTTCACAGGTATGTATGGTACAGGAAAAAATATAGTACATAGTATATAGGGTTTAGCACTAGCCAGTTGCAGGCATCCACGGGGGCCTTGGAACATATCCCTTACGGGAAAGGGGGTTAGCTTATGAGAGTGTATGCTTAGTCTGTATTTGACTAGTGTCTGTCTGGTGATTAATAGGTACATATCAATTTAAAACTCCTGAATCTTCTCCACTGGGTACACCAATTGGCAGAATCAAAGCCAGTGATGCTGATGTAGGAGAAAATGCTGAAATTGTGTACAGTATCACAGATGGTGAGGGGCTGGATATGTTTGATGTCATCACTGACCAGGAAACCCAGGAAGGAATTATAACTGTCAAAAAGGTAATGCTACTTATTCAATATCATGTGAATAAACACACTGTGCTCTGATTCGTTTTCAGGTTACCAGGGGGCAATTCACAGCTCACTTAAGCATTTCCTTTAGATTCTTATTCTACCAATTTTTTTGTTTTTAAAATCCCAATTCAAATTAGGCTAAGATTTCATGGGTTGTTCTTTAGAGCCCCAATACAATATTATATATTCATTAATTGTATACTTGAAACAGATTTTTTTCCTAAGTATATCATGTAAACAGATGACACACATTAAAACACATGAAATAAATAATATAAATGAATAGTCGATAAACAGACCATCCCAGACACTACTCCAAGTATTTGACCACCAAAATCTTCTAGTGCCACAGAGGAATATACCAAAGTGTGAAAAAAGTTTAAAAACAATAATAATTTGGTGCCTTAAACTAAAAATATTGTGATTAATTATTTCCCTTTTATCATATGTAATATTTTCTCCCTCCTTTAGCACATTGTTATGTTTATTGAAAAATACAAGCATAGGTGCGTATAAATAACAAGAAAATTTTCCTCTTCAGAACATGTCTTAATATCTAGAAGCATAATAAAACATGTTTCAGTGACACTCAAACCAATGTTTTATACCATAATGTAATTAGGAAACCCATTAGTGTGCATTAACCTTTTTAATTTTCTTGGTGCTTTATCAGAGTCAAACTGAAATTTTGCCCCGCCAACTAAATCACATTCACTAACATCTTGATTAATTCTGTTTCTAGCGAGCCTTGTTACATGATCATCTAAAACTAAAAGTCGGTAATAAGCACTTGGATTCACTGTCTCCTAGAGCAAAGAGACTCTTCCTAAAGATCTTTGACAACCGTAATCATTCCTTACTTTGGCAAATAAAAAACCCAAGTTCTTTATCAGGATATCATTCAGAATATTTTATTAACTCAAACAAAATAAATTTTAACTCACATTATTTGAATAAAGAAGAAGTAATCATGATGCAAAGCTAGGCACACCTCAGTCACTTGCAGAGGTGTTACCAGTCCCACCCCACGTACAATATTTTGATTTAGTGGGCCAGAGTAGGGCCCAGGTATTGACAAGTTTTCAACACAGTAGGTACAATTAAAACCCAATGTAAGAACAAACATCTGACAGAATAATCTACTCCATATGACCAACTTTCCTGTGGTGACTCCCTCTAATCAATACAAGGATTGTCTTAGAGGAGGGGGTTTGGCTGGAAGAAGATTCCTGCTTCCAGCTTCTGTTCCTGCCGTGTATGATGGCTAGCACCTCAGCACCCACTTTTAACAAACAGCAGGCATGGTTTTGGTCCACACTTTGTCAGAGTTGTGTGGTATCTTAATCCTCCATAGATTGCATAACAGTTTGCCTCCTTGTGGTCTAAACTGTAGGGAAAAATTAATTATACCTATAATTACTATCCCAGGCCTAACATCAAATGAATGTATAATGATTTCTCTAAGCAACAATCACACTTCTTTATCAGATTTGCACACACACATACATACCCATACATACACACAAAGTTCATAAATTGGTTTTCTGCATTTTGGCTGCTTTAAGTATGTCACTTTCCTCCCCAAGCTCTTGGACTTTGAAAAGAAGAAAATATACACCCTCAAGATAGAAGCCTCCAATCCACGTGTAGAAACTCGATTTCAGTACCTGGGTCCATTCAAAGACTCAGCCACAGTGAGAATTGTAGTGGAGGATGTTGATGAGCCACCTGTCTTCAGCAAACTAGCCTACATCCTACAAATAAGAGAAGATGCTCAGATAAACACAACCATAGGCTCAGTCACAGCTCAAGATCCAGATGCCAGCAGGAATCCCATCAAGTAAGTACACTTCTGCATCTTCTCTTTCCTAAGTCGCAGTTACATATACTCAAATAACCACTTGCACAGGAGAAAAGGAATCCCTTTTCCCCAATAACACAGTTCCTGAAAACCTACCCCAAACAGCATCTTTAAATCTCCTTGCTCAGCGCACAGACATTATTTGAGCAGTAGCATACACCTACAATGTACAAAATTTTAAAGAAAAAAATCAGAAGGTAAACTGCAAGGAGTTTACTGCTCGCACAGAGGTAGCAAAGGCAATTCAGTTGAATGGCCTCAGGGTTTTGTTTTTTTTTTTTTAAGATTTAAGATTTTTCTATATTTTAAGGTTTATCAGAGAGTGAATGGAGAGACACACCAGACACTGAGCTTGAGAGCCTATTTCTCAAATGTTGGAAGAAACTCTCATGTAACACAAGCAGAGTTAGTCTCTATTTGGATGTGTGATTTTTCCACCTATAGATGCAAATAAAAACAAGAGGTATTTCATGCTATGTCTGTGAAATCCAGGGGAAACTAATAAGGCAGAATCCAAATTTTTGTCCTATAAGCACACTCTGTTTTCCCCATACTTCCCTGACACTTAACTTGTAAAGCATGCTGCCGGAAAGCCACATTGCTCTTTGGGACCACTGATGGTTTGAGTACTGTAGAATTTTATGAAAATGCGGGAGTCTACCAACCTCCAGCCTTCGGCCAGTAGCCTTGTTGATTAAATGAGAAAAGTGCAAACCAGAATGCCACTGTGCAATATATACCCCATAAATAAAGCGAGCAGATTGAAAGGTTACAGGAACTCTTGCCAGGGAGTCCACAAACGCATGCTGAGGGCTGGGGGGTTGTTTTCTCACATCTTAGCCATTGAGTCTCCTTGGTTCCAATGAAACCTTATGATACTACCACATCTAAAACTCAGAAGTGCCTGTCTTACTTTCAGGAACTATTTTTCAATCAGTGGCAGCTAGAGTCCTCAATCATCATGCTACTAGAATATCTTTGACACCTTGAACAGGACTGTGGCCAGCCCAAATTTAGCAACACATTAGTTCCATGGATCCAGTGTTTCTCTATACAAACTTGATATTATTAATAAGGAAAAGGAAGGGTAGCTGTCACTTAAACAGCACAAATAATTTACTTTCACAACTATTCTCTCACTTGGAGTTTGTTCTAACTGTGTACAGAAAAAAATCTCAGCAAGTCAGCATCAAGTCCAATTTAAAAGTGTTAGCGCTACAAGTTTACAAATATGAGCTTCAATTACCTCTTTGATAGATCAACATGTTTTGGATTTGAAGAGATAATGTCTTTTGGGAATTTAGGCTATATTTCTGTATCTCTGTTACTTTTTATACCAAATACCATTTTACCCACTGCATTATTTTATGTTTTATGAAAGGAAGTAGTTAGCTTGTCAGATTGGGTTGGCTGTTAGTTAATTTTAAAGTTTTTTCCTGCCAGCCTTCCCTTGGTACATATGGATTTGATACATGGATATAGATTTAAAGCCAGAAATACACATAGATATATTGGTATATAAGTGCATGTTCCAATGATTCCTTTCATAGGATAAAATTCATTCTCATATTAGGAAACTAAATCTATACATAGTTTTGGGTTATTCCAGACAAAAATATTGAACACATAGGTGCTAGAAAATATGTTAGGTAATAAATTAAGAGAACTGTTCCCCCAAAATCAATTTATTGTTCTGTAGCCATGTTTAATTTTTTAATCATAAGTATAATTTTCTTCTAAAACTGTTACCACAAATACCATTTGATATCCATGAAAGAATTTTATGCCACTATAAATACCTACTATGAGAAATTTTCATCTAATCACACACCTTTCTCCAACCCACAAATCTCCCTAACTTAAGAATATGTTAGAAGACAAATTATTTAATCATAGAATACAATAAAGTACTAGAATTAAATTTTTTTAAAAAAGGAGCTCCCCAGCACAGTGATCTGCTATAACCATGACAGAATTGATTACCTTGTTTTCTAAAAATGATGATTACAATTAATGTTATTTGACAGTAAATATCCTTAATAAAAATTGAAATTGCTATGAAATAAAACAACAAAATACAAAGAAGGTTTTGTATGCAAGCATCTTTCCTGAACAATGCAGATAGTCTAGGTTTGCTACTAATTTTTTAATTTCCCAATTATGGAAAAATAGTGTAATTTTTTTGGCAGTTTCTAAATAGTTAATCCCTCTTTAAAATTTAAAGCTGCCTTCAATTTGAAACTTCCTTATCACTTACCCTTTATTTCAAGGCTTGATGTGAAAATGTGATTACTTGTAAAACTTGCAATTTTAAAGCAGGAGGCAACAAGACAAAGCACGATAAAGATTATTGCTGTACATAATTGTAACAGCTTATTAAAACACTAAGCAGCACTTCTGGAGCTTGACATTTTTCATGAGCAAAAATATGTTCTTAGGTTAAATTATTAAATTTCTCACAAAGCTTATGAATATTGAGATTTCCTTCTTGTAATTAACTATGCATTATAAATATTTATCATTCTTAAATTAAAAATGAAGAGAGGTGATCAAGTAAATTCAATCTTGGTGCCTAAATTCTTAATCAATGGTGATCCACAACAGAAATGGCAAAAATAATAGCTTTTTCACCTGTTTTAAACCTCTTGATAATAAAAAAATTAGCTTATGTACATAGAAAACTAAAATTCCCATGTAACTTTATATGTACCCACTGTGAACTTTCTTAATTCTCTTTAAAATCAAGTTTAAATAGCCTGCAATAGTTGAATGTCTATTTCTTTTAGACACTTGCTAGATAATAAAAATAAATTTTATTAAGACGAAATATTCATTATAATTCACTACTTATGTTTTAAACAAAAATAATTCCTTGAAATAGAATCTTGGACATGGTACACTATTCTAAATTAGTAACAACTTTTCTTATAGCAATCATAATAATTCCATATGAGTTTGAGTAGATAGGTCATTTACTTTATATTTCTACTAAACTGACATTGTTAAACTTCTTACCATAATATAAATTTTGAGACTGCAGCCGAAATAGTCAGTTGGTTTACTAATGTCTTTAACATGTCAACTTTCTTCAAAGTTTTCTTTTTAATGCTCTTTGCTAATAAACATACATATATAATTCGCCCTTGATGTCTATTCAAAAAAGTAGTCACCAGAACAAGTAATTAATTAACACTAATAACAAATTTATAAATGAGATGACAAAACATTCCAGGATTGATGACTCACTTCTTCTTTGGCTCCTAAGACACTGCTCTTGGTCTCCTTTGAATTTCTCCGAACTCTCATGCTTGAATATTTGTGCAGTTCTTACTCTGTTCCAGGCACTGTTCTAGTCCTTACAAGTATCTGCTATGAGCCCTGTAGGTGATTCTGTCCTTAGCACTTTTCATGCTCCACTGAATGTTTGCTTCCTGAACAGTTGGATAAGAAATCTAAGTTGTCAGTCTAGATCTTTCTCTTGAGCTTCAGAATAGGCAACCCCTCTTCGACTTTCCTGTGCACTTCAGATTTACATATCAAAAATGAAACTTAGGATCTTCTTTAAATCCTATTGCTCACTCCTCTTTCATAAGCTTATAAAAGCACCATCCAAACATTCTCTCAATTTAATTAATGATCTTTGTTAAATGGTTTAAATTCTGACACTTTTCTGCTTGGAATACTTTAGTAGATTCACCTTGTGCTTAAAATAAATCCCACCTTTGAATGTAAACTAGTACAGCCACTAAGGAAATCAGAATGGAGATTGCTCAAAAAACTGAAAATAAAAATTCCATTTGACCCAACTATTCCCCTTCTGGGTATCTTCCTGAAAAAGTTAACAACATCATATTGTAGTGATACGTGCTTACCCAGGTTTATAGCAGCACGATTCATAATAGCTAAATTATGGTAGCAGCCTATATGTCCATTAGTAGATGAATAGATAAATAAAATGTGGTATTTATACACAGTGGAGTATTACTGTGCCAAAAAGGATACCTTTCAGTCATTTGTAGGAAATTCAATGCACCTTGATATAATAGCAAGTGAAATAAATCAGACATACAAGCTTAAATATTACATGGTTTCACTCTATGAGAAATTCAAAGTGTAAATAATTTAAAAGCAAGTAAAAGAAAGACAATAAGAATCAGGGAGATAGATCTTTTGCAAATGGGAGGGGGACAGATCAAGAAGAGATGGCGGTTGAGGAAGGAGAGGGGAAGTAGAAAGAATGAAGCTGTGTTGTGTACATGTACCACCTTCCCACGATAAATCAGCATTTACTGCAAACATACATTCATAAAAAATTTAAAATAAGTAAATAAATAAATAAAATATTTGAAGATAAAAATAAAAAGTAAAATAAATGCCACTTTCCTCCCATGACCAGCTCATCCTTCTGCACTCTGGACTCTGGCTCTCTCTCCAGTATCACCCTTCCTTACCTCCTTTCTAACCTCAGTCATACTAGTTATCTTCAGTTTCTTTCAACTGGATGATTTTAAAAATAAAATGGATAGTAAATAAAATGGATGCCCTGTATGTTCACACAAAGGCATATTCATTAAAATCTTGAGGTTCTACAAGCTTGAGTTAAAAATACAGTAATTACCACGCAAACCTGATGCAAATTTCACATTTAAAAAAAAGAAACTATAGTAGTGATCTTCAAAACCATGCAATTTGTCTACTGAGTTTATGACAAGGGCCTCAATTGTAGAGATTTAATTTTTCAGAATATTTTGCCTAATATGAAGTTATAGGGCTGGGGGTATAGCTCAGTGGCTTAGGTGCTTGCCTAGCAAACCTGAGGTCATGAGTTTGATTCTCGGTACCAAAAAAAAAAAAAAAAAAATGAAGTTATAGATATTTAAATATGCATGATAAATAGAAAAGAATGAATATAACATGTTCTAAGAATAGTATGCTGTGAGAATAGGAACTGCAAGGAAAGCCTATTTAATTCTCCTTTGCATTTTCAGGTACTCTGTTGATCGACACACAGATATGGACAGAATCTTCAACATTGATTCTGGAAATGGTTCAATTTTTACATCGAAACTTCTTGACCGGGAAACAGTACTATGGCACAACATTACAGTGATAGCGACAGAGATTAGTAAGTCCAATCTAGAATTGCTACGGTCCTGATTGATGGAGTGAGTGTCATTGGAAGGGCTGGTGTAGCATGGCTGAAACGCCTCACCCCATATGGATGACCCTGCTCAATACCCATTGAGGGGAAGAGCCCTGAATGATCTGCAGTAATATCTCTTCTAAATATGTGTTAGTTCATTCATAAATGAGCAGCAACCTTGCAAGTTTTCCAGTTTGGAAACAATAAAATAAGAATGCATCTCTCAAATGAGACTAAGTGTGTACTCACTGGATTTGATTCCAAAATGCTTTTAAGTTAGAACATTACAGAAACAACTGGAAAAAAATGGGCCCTCAGACATTTTGTAAGGACGCATTGGACAACAGGGACCAAGTATCTTTAAAATGCAGACATTGTTCAGAAATCTTCTGGGTATTCATTCTCTAGCTTTTTGTAGAATTTCTATTTTCAAATCTTTACAGAATGAAGAAACACAATCATCACTTCTCCATGGTATAACAAAGTGAGCAATGCAAACCAGCACAAAATCAATAAAATGTTTAGAATAAATTTTGTCATATTCCCTATAAAACTTAAGGCAGAGAAAAAATTGTGCCAAAAGAACACTTCAAATAAAATGATTATATTCAATGAAAATGAATGTGAATTGTAAATATAATGTGTGAGCTGAAGCATGTAAGAAAAAAATTATTTTAAAATAATATTTTAATGTTAAAAGTAGGCTTCTGAATTATAGCCTTTTTTAGTTTTGTTTTGAATTTTAAAAGTTCTAAACATTTTTATCTCTGTTGGATATCTAGTGTGAAATATTCCACATCAAATGGTTTATTATAGTTGTATTTTGTCAACATAGCTCATGAGATTTGAAGTAGCTGAAGCATATAAGGTGGAATAGTAAATTACCAATACAGGCAAAATGAAGTACTGCTCTCTTATAATGATAAGGACACATCGTTAAAGATCTGTTAGACAGGAATTTGCTCTTCAGAATTTATGCCAAGGATTGGTGTGAGTATACCAATAACAATGCATCCTTAAAGCTTTAAAATTACAAAATGATTTTCTGTTGAAAAGAACCATTTTTCGGGGCTGGGGATTTAGCTCAGCGGCAAAGCGCCTGCCTGGCAAGCGCAAGGTCGTGGGTTCGGTTACCGGTACCGGAGAAAAACCAAAAAAACAAACAAACAAAAAAAAAAAGAACCATTTTTCAAAACACCATGAATTTTATTTTTAACTGATATAGTCATTTCATAAGTTTTTTAAGCTTTATGCTCAAAATTCTTTTAGGATTGAGTTTTCTGTGACACATTTGAAAGTATTAGTGATTAAGATCTTTTAAAATTCATAATCAGCTGCTCTAACTTAAGAAAGATGGTATAAGAAAAATATTAGATGCATGGCATCTTAAGAATCTTTTTTTTATGAAAAAAAAAACAAATTTCATAACCAAATAAAAGAATAACAATAGCTATTATACTGTATATCATTATCTTCAAAGTAGTTACTCAATATAAGACATGAACCAAAAGATTCTTACAAAAGAGTAACAGATAGCACAAACTTTCTTTGCCATGAACAAAGATAGACTATAAGTATCAATGAAACAAATGAGCATATACCTTGAAAGAATCTTACTGTTGAAACTTCTTACCTATCTTTGACATATGAAAAACCAAGAGCTTGTATAAAACAACTCACTGCCACTCCAAGACCTTCTCCCCAGGAAGCCAGAAATACTCCCATGGTTTAATCTTCCTCTTCAGGGATGTTTGTCTCATTAGTGAATCTGTCCCTGTCATACTCTCAGGGTAGTGCATCTTCCTCTCTCCAGACCTTTTTCCTGCTTAAAGTCGCCATAGCTTTTACTACCTGGTGCATTATATACTTAGTGTACATTGTTTGTCTATTTCACTCTTGCACTAAATCTCCAGGAGGCAAGATCTTTGTTACGTTCTCCATTAATCCCAGTATCCCAAATAATACCTAGCACGTCAGATACTAGAAGGCCACTAAAAATTCTTGAAGTGAACAAACAAATAGACATGTGAGGGAAATGGAAGAAAAGAGCAAGGGAGGAGATTCCAATTCCTGATCCTTACAATAGGAGTGTGTCTTCTAACTACCCAGGAGGCTACCACAGAAGTCAACCAAAATAATTCATTTATTCAAGGTCTTCAAACACTGACTCTGTTTATCATTATTCTAGATAAAAAACCTGGGCTTTAGAGTCAGACAGATGCAAGTTTGAACCTATGTTGAACTCCTTTCTATCTCTGTGAAAATAGATAAATTACTTAATTTCTCTGTGCCTGTTTCCCCATCCATAAAATGGGGCAGCAATTGTATCTACATCAGAAGCATCTAAAATTTAAACTCATATAGCAAAGTTCTTAGCATGACGGTTCCCTGAAACTAAGACCCTTAACGATCTTTTGGTTTCCTGGTGGTCTATTTGTCTTCCTTTTGTCCATATTTTTCCCCATCTGCCTATGTCCTTGGCTTCCTTAAAAATCTACTTCTAAAATACCATTCCTTATTTGGTGTCACCATAGTGTTTAGTATGCAGGTGTATCACATTAACACATGTAGGTTTTTCTAGCAGGTATTTCCAACTGCAGAGATACCAGACTACCCAGTTCTTCTTTCTTGTTCCCACTTTGGTATTCAGTGTCCTTGGAGAGTATGAGCACGACTGGGAGTGAAAGAATGTGTGTTATTTAACAGGATTGGTGATCAGCATATAAATGGCTATTTCTTTCTTTTTTATTTCTGGCAGATAATCCAAAGCAAAGTAGCCGAGTACCTTTATATATTAAAGTTCTAGATGTCAATGACAATGCCCCAGAATTTGCTGAGTTCTACGAAACCTTTGTCTGTGAAAAAGCAAAGGCAGATCAGGTGAGTTCTGTAAGAAAATACATTCAAATTGCAAGATTAATTTAGATCTCATAATAATTCAGATGATACATAGAGCTGAGGGCTAGTTTTGAATTATCTATGAAGTGAATGCTAAGGAGATTAATACCATAAATAAGAGCCAGGACAAATGTTTAACTTGCATAAGAGAACAAACAGTTTTTTAAGAACTGGAAGTTTGTGAGTCTCCAAGACTGATCCTGATTCTAAATTAGTCTTAAGTTTTCATTAAAATAGATTAGTTCCAGCATTATTGGAAAAATCTTATTGATGAGCAGATAGTTTAATTACCATATGTACTCAAAAATAATAACTAGAACATATTTTACAATTGCCTACATTTCATAGTTTTACTTATTTACATTGCCCATCTGTACAAGTCATACAAATTCATGAATGTTTTACGGTTTTACCCAATTTGTCACCACCTGAAATAGGACTTTTCTGCCAATGAGATAAAAATTATGTTATAATTTGTCAAAATAGAAGTGCACTATTAAAGCACATGGAAAAGTGGGAAGCTGAAGTTACTGTGTTTTATACGTTAATTTCTTTTTTAAGTTTTCTGCAAATTGGTAGGTTGTGTTCATGCAAAGACTACATTTCTAAATGGTTGTCCAAAGAAGGCTTCCATTTTGTTAAAATGCAATGTTGTCAAAGATTGCTGTGATCTTTTATAGCTTTGTATTACTCTGGCAGTTTCTCAGCCAGGGTGATTGGGACCCTGGGGATATTTGGTGCTGTCTGGGGACATTTTTCATCATCACAACTTAGGAGAGCATGACTGGCTTCTAGTTGGTAGAGACCAGTGTTGCTGCTAAACATCTATATCCCAAAAGACCCCCAAAATCAAGAACTATCTGTTGCTTTATGGCTTTCTACCCATTGGTTCTTTGAATAAAGGTTATTATTTGAAAATTTTTGAAAGTTATTATTTTTAATTAAAATGAAATTATGTCTTAGTTACTTTTATCATTGCTGAGACAAAACACCCACCACCCACAAATTAAGGGATGAAAGGTTTATTTAGCTCACAGTTTACAGAGGTTTCAGTCCATAATCAGCTGGCTCCAAAGCAGGGTGGCATGGCATACAAGCATCATAGAGGAGAAACAGCTGATGGTGGGCAGAAGGTAGCAAAGCAAGCAACAGAGGCGCTCTTTCTGCCCCTTATATCTTATCCAGACTATTTAGGGTAGGTAGCACTCACACCCTCAATCCTAATACCCTTGATCCTAGCTTTGCTCCAGGAATCAATTCCAGCATCACACATTCTAGATCCAGCCACTTTTGAAAAGGCCCCACCTGTGACTGCATAAGGCTTTGGTGGGGGGATATCTAGACACAAGCCATAACATCATAAAACCAAACATTCTACTGAAAAACTATAAGAAACACTTGAGTTATCAAAATGTTATGGCTTTTGTTTCAGCTGATCCAGACCCTACGAGCCATTGACAAGGATGATCCTTACAATGGACACCAATTCTCCTTCTCTTTGGCCCCTGAAGCAACCAGTGGTTCAAACTTTACCATTCGTGACAATAAAGGTAAACAAGCTGAAGTTACCTTCCCTATCAATCTATCTCTGTGTCTGTGGTATCTATATGTATATCTGTGTCTATATCTATGTCTATCAATTCCCATCACAATTGGTTCATTAGACATGTGACATCCACATACATTCACCACTCTGCTTTTGTTTCCAGACAACACAGCAGGAATCTTAACTCGGAAAAATGGCTATAATAGACATGAGATGAGCACCTATCTCCTCCCTGTGGTCATTTCAGACAACGACTACCCAGTTCAAAGCAGCACTGGGACAGTGACTGTCCGGGTCTGTGCATGTGACCACCATGGGAACATGCAGTCCTGCCATGCGGAGGCCCTCATCCACCCCACGGGATTGAGCACAGGGGCTCTGGTGGCCATCCTTCTGTGCGTCGTGATCCTACTAGGTAAACTGCTTCTCCCTGCATCCTATCTCCCCTTGGTGAGGGGCACACACTGTCACTGTGACACTCTAGATTTTTCCGCCTCCCCCATTAAGGCATACAGCCTTATCTAGGTGAGTAGAGTTGTATGCTGAGAATCTGTGTTGTTCAAACATTTGCTTGAAAATGGCTTTGGAGAATGAATAGATGTGAAATTTGCCCATGTCTTTGCTTTTGTTCAACCAGAAGAGTATTTTGTCTATCAGACTAGAAATGAATCTCAGGGGGATTTGAGGGCAGTATAAATATGACCTTTTCATGTGTTGTGTAATATTTAAGTTGGCAAATATTGTTAAATTTTAAAGAGTGAAAGCTGTCCCGCATGGAGTACACTCCATATTATGAAGGCCCTTTCTGCAAAGGTAAAGTTTAAGATCAATGGGAAAGTGGAAAGAGGAATGTGATGACTTTTTCTCTCTCGTACATGAAAAATAAGAGCATGGAATTTTCTTTAACCCAACCAACATTTTGATCTATCTACTACTTTCATAGGTTACTACATATATAATGTCTATTATTTTCAGATTCTCAATGATAAACAATGTCTGTAACTAAGGAAACAAACGTGGAACCCAAAGGAAATGCAATAAAAGGGAACACTGAGTTCTAACGGTGATTCAAGTGAAATTTTTAACTCCAACCAATTAAACCAAAATACTGGGTTTAAATTGCTCAGTGGGCCCTTGACCGTTTGTGAAATAAGAAGCCAAATATTAGCTAGTGCAGCCCTTTCAGATGAGATTGGGCATGTGCAGGGTGGAGTTGAAAAAAAAAAGTTGCAAAAACAAATGCAAGACTTGTACAGTTTGCCTACACAATGAAAAAACAAAAATTAGAAGTTAAAGTTAACCTAGATTACAACAGGGAAAAAAACTTCTAAAAAATAAAGACAGAGTCAAGAAGAGTAAAATTCTCCAAGAAAAGAGAGATGAAGGCTGCCTGCCCAAGAGCTTCCCCTTCCAAATCCATGTTGCTAATTATAACAGAAGCCTTGAAATTCAACTTAGAGCTGTGATTCCCTTTATCACCTAAAATTTGGGCAAGTATTTTAAGATAGGGATAAATAAAAACTGAGTGAGCAAAGACAGATCAGTGTTCCTAAAGCTGCAAGCCCATAAAATTGTTTGGAAAGGAAGGGCATGAATATTCTGGTTGATAAAAAGGAGTATTTTCAGAAGTCCTGGGCTCCAGTATTGGTAGTGCATGGGTTCCTTTGATGGTCTAAGGAAGAGAGCAAGTGCTCACCTCCTACAGAAGACTCTTACTTTCCCTTATCATTGATCCATTTTCCCGTCTGCATTTTCTTCCTTCTGACTCAGTCATTCTATCTTCCCCCTTTCATTCCCTTCCTCCAGAAAATTAATTGTCTCTTCATTATTCCCCGTTGGCCTCCGTGCCTCTCGCATCTTGTTTAGTCTCTTGGGAATCCCATACCTGACAGAAATGGAGAAAATGGGATTTAGCCTCAACGACGTTCACACTATAGGCTAAATGCTGTAAAGGAACTTTACAAATGTTTATCTCACGTATTTCTCAGAGGCACCTGCCATATATTTATTTGCATCCTAAATATGAAGGCTGACACTCCAAGATGTGAAGTCACATGTGTAACAGGTGATAGAACTACATTCCAAGCCTAGAATTTCACCCCCTTGATGCTGTATTCTACTTTCTTTCCTTATTGAAAGCCGAGCAATTTCCAGGCTGAGAGGCCAGACTTTAATGGCACTGTTGGAGAAAATGAAAACAAACCCAAAAGCTTGTCAGAGAAGGAAAGTTGCATTGATGTATGAAGAAATCTGGATTTAAGAAAGTAGACCAGAGCCTGTGGTGTAACTCAGCAGTGGGGCACTTGTCCAGCCTGCATGAGGTCCTCGTTCAATCCCCAGCACCAGCACCAAAAACTAAATGTATAAATGGATCATATGAACCTTGTTTTTTACAAAAATAAAACAATACAAACATCCAAATAACTGCATCTCCTGTCTTTATGACACTTTAGAGGTCATAAAACTTTCACATGTATTAACTACTTTAATGACAGCACTGGGCACTGTATTATTCCTTCTCTTCTACAATTATAAATACGCTAAGAGGGCCAGGGATATAGCTTAGCGGCACAGTTCCTGCCTGGCAAGCGCAAGGTCCTAAGTTTGATTCCCAGTGCCAAAAAGGCAGGCTAAGAAACACCATTTAAATTAACCTAGATCTGCCAATATTCTACATTTATGATAAGATTTGAGCACAAATTTGCCCAATGACCCCTCCCCTAAAAAAGCTTTATTACTATCCTCTGGCCCCAAGTGGGTAGGGGAAAGGGGGGCTCAGTCCCTGATAAGGGTCCCTCAAGGTATATCACTGTTTTAGAATTCTTTCCACATGCTTAGAAATCTATAAAATGTAACTTTCAGAAACACCTCACTTCTGGACAACTATAAATTCTGTTAGGATATGATCACAACAAGTAAGACCTAGGCAGTTTTATCTGTAGGAGAATTAAGCTGTAAGTAAACACCTTTGAATTTTTTAACGTGTCTTCGCTGTTCTAGATAGCTGTCCTTCCATACGTGCATAGGAGTGAAAATGAGAGATCTGAGTGCCTTAAGCTGGAGAAGAATTGAAAAACGGTGGATACCGGCTATCTTGCCTTAAATGACAAAGAATTCATGCATGGTAGAGCTCAGTTCTGTGAAGGACAGTTGGCTTGGCTCTGTTTCCTAATCCGAAAGGCTGTCCTTATTTACAACCCTGTTTCACAAATCTATATCATGATCACATGGAACATTCCTCAGCCCAGAGCCCTGCAGGTCTCCACCCCACATCTCTCCCACCCACCAAGGTAAAAGTGATAGAGGTACAGAAGCCTCCAAGGCCTCCAGGGGCACAGCCCTTCTCTACTCCCTTCCTCCGCTCCATCTAGTCCAGCCACCGGTCTTCTGGCTGTGGCTCCAGCAATGTGAGTGCACCCACCCTGGGGGTCTTTCCCGCAGCTCTTTCCTCTTTAGATAACTCCTTGGATAGCCCTCGTATCTTTGCTTAAGTGATGCAACCACCCCTTATAAAACATGGACATGTAGAAAGAACATATAGAAAGGAACATGTAGAAAGCTCTGCATCCTTCTATTCCAGCTTCACTTCCCCTTGTTTACATTGCACTTACACTTTCTAATGATTTCCTTCTCTATTTTACACACTGTTGACTTTCTGTCTCCATCCGCCATTCCCTGCACCCCTGCCAACTCTACAAGAGCAGGGCTCTTTATGCTGTTCTTTCACTGATAGGACCTAGAACCGTGCCTGGCACATAGTGGGCACTACATAAATACTTATTTTTTTTTTTTTTTTTTTTTTT